CGTGTCTTCGCCATGAAAAAGCGATGTCCTATACCCCTAGACGAAAGGGACGAATGAATGTGCTTGTAGCTCAATTGGATAGAGCACCAAACTACAGATATATATATATATATATATATATATATATATATATATCGTCACAAACAGAACTGCCCGGTAAACCGTTGGCAGAGAGAGAGAAGAGGACAACAAACGAGGGGCTGTGACAAACTGTATATATATATATACGATATATATCGTCATATATCGTCAAATAGATATATATATATATATATATATATATAGAGAGAGAGAGAGAGAGAGAGAGAGAGAGAGAGAGAGAGAGAGAGAGAGAGAGAGAGAGGCTGATGAAAGGGGAGGTCGCCATAGCTTCAGGGTGGTATGTGGCGATGATTGAAGACGGAGACTCCATCCTGCGCGAGAGGACAAGAATTGTCATGTCAAGTTTCAAGTTTCAACATTATTCGCAAACACTTTGGTAGGTCAGCGCTCGAGAGAGATTGGCTTGGCAAGTGACATTGCATCTGGTTTGGTGGTGAAGGGGTGGGTAGAAGTCGCCATAGCCAGTAGATTGAGAATACATCGAGGTGGCGAGGAAGGAGTCCCGAAGTGGGAGTGAGAGAAGCAAGCTGAACATTATACTAATCTTATATTTTTAAACATTTTCCAAAAAAAAATATATGTTTTTTCTTGCTCTTCTTCGTCACACAGCTTGTCATTCATGGCTATCTTCTTTTCAAATTTGTCATTGATTTGAGCCACATGAGTTCATGTGCGACATGATTGTGAGCTACTGAAGTTGGATTTACTGCTGACCTTCGAATTCATGTGTGGTTGCATAAATTGCTGTGTACTGTGTGTTTATGTGTGCGTGGTTGGGTGGGAAGAGGATTGGGTGGGAAGAGAATTGGGTGGGGAGAGAATTGGGTGTGTGTGTGGGTGTGGGTGGTGGTGATGGGGGGTGTTGAATGTTTTCTGTCCATGTGGTGGTGCTCGTTATTGTCTCAGCTAATGAGCCTCTTGCTGCTGCGCCATGCACTTGCATTAGTCGCGCACACCGAACCGAATGGATCGACGGTTGTGGGGGTATGTCGAATCAACCACTTACCCCATTTTTTGTGTTTTCGAAAGGTTGTCCTTTGTTGGTTTACACAGGCACACACGCACGCACACACACACACACACACACACACACACACACACACACAGACACACACACACACACACACACACACACACAGAGAGAGAGAGAGAGAGAGAGAGAGAGAGAGAGAGAGAGAGANAGAGAGAGAGAGAGAGAGAGAGAGAGAGAGAGAGAGAGAGAGAGAGAGAGAGAGAGAGAGAGAGAGTCTTTTTTGTCTTTTTCGTTTCATTTTTACCCGAGAAAAGTGAGCGAAATGGTTGTTCAGATCCTTTTGTGTCATTCAGATGCAAGTTCTGTCTGTCCAGCAGATGGATCATGTGAAGACACCGAATTGTGAAAACCTTGTTTGTATACATGGTGTATCATTGACACAATCATATCCGCACTGACAGGATCGATCTGGCGAACAAGGTTTTCACTTTTCAGACTGAAAACACTGAAAAGTTTTTGTAAACTCGATGACTCGCTCGTAAGTTGTAACGTCATCGTTTTTGAGGACCAGACTCTGCAATTTCTGTTGACGTAATGTTTATAACTTTATATGAATTCAACTGTGCAATTTCTTCTGTCAGTCTTAGCAGGCACATTGCGCTCAGAACGTTGAGCCGCACGTGAACTGACACCACTGCCTCTTGTGCTGTGCAGGTCCAGATGCTTATGATCCGAGTGATAGGATTCCTCTTACCTTGTTATATAATGGCACAAGCGTTCAGTATCCTGCACAAGAGGCGGCAGCAGCAGGTACTCTTCTCCGAATGCTTCTTCCTGTGTCGACTGCATTAAGGGAAAAAGGCAGAAGTCCCATCGGTTGCCCTTTGTGAACAGCCCTGTCAGAGGTTGTGGAGGAAGCCTGAACTGGGCAGGGAGGGAGTGGAAGTACAGGGAGTGGGGGAGGGTGCGGGGATGGGAAGTGTGGTGGCAAAGGAAGTGGATTTAAGAGTTGACGAAGTGACACTTGGCGCTTTCCAGAGGGCAAGCATTCAGACTGTGTTGGGATCCATAAAGTGGTGTTTTGTTTGCTGTTTGTCCCTTCCCCCCCCCCCYCCYCCYCCCCCCCCAAAAAAAATAAAAAAGAACCCTTTTAAACAGGTGACAGCTGGCGTCAGCCGCTAATTTGATTATGTACACCGAGATTCGAACTTGTGTCCTGTTTATGAGCAGGTACATGTGTGTAGCCACATGGGGTAGGTTTCCTTTCTTGTTCAGAGATGAGGACAAGTGCATGTTTTGTGGATGGAGGTGTGGGCGCTTTCCACACAACCACGCAGAAGTTCGGAGCCCTGTGCACAAGTTGGGATCCCTGTACAGAAGTTGCAATCCCCGTACATAAGCGAGCTTCCCCGTGCTTGAAAACGAGCATTTTGCGGTTTTTGCCTCCTGTGGCTGCATACAGCACAGATAGAGACCTTCATCTCCTCCCCCCCTCCCCCGCCCCCCCGGTCGGTACAAGAGGTAAAGGGACGTTGAAGCGCTGGGGTTTACCCAGCTTTTCTTTGGATGGAATGTTTGCCTGTGTTGTAGTTATATTTTCTAACACATGCACATATGTCTCCACACATGGACATGCACACACACTTGCGCATGCACATGCTGAACGTTTGAAGAAAACTGAACAGGAGTATACCTCCTCCTTTAGTCTGCCTCGTTTCATAACGTGCAAGTGTGCCGTTAAGGCACACAGGGATGTGGGCAGCTGGCGCTAAACCACAATCAACATGGCGCGCCTTGTACGTGAGAGGCACAGTAAAAGGGGAGGTGCGAGAACAAATAAACGGGGTGCCCAAAAGAATGCTAAAACAAAGAAAGTTGAACCACCAGTACTTGGCCCTGCTATCGGCCGTGGGAAAAAATAGAGTTGAAACGTTTCTAGTAGGATGAATTGGGGCGCTCCTGTAGTGACCCGTAAGTTTCCTAAAATCGTGGCTTGTTATCGGGCACGCCTTTGGGAAGTACTGGTGGTGGTTTAAGATTCTTAATGGTTTAAGATTCTTAAACCACCAGTACATGGCCCCAGCCTTGCTGAAAATGTTTCGTCACCTGGTCCTAAAAAGTCGCCACCGGCGCGCGGTCGATAAAATAAATCGGCGGCCGGCGTCATGTTTCTGCCTCTGGCAGGGGCCCGCGGCTGATGTGAGGCGTGTACTGGTGGCTTAAGAAAGGGGTATATAAATTGTATGACGGATCTCTTGTTGCCCCATGTTGCTTGCTATAGAGTTGAAACTGTGTCCTTGTTCAATTGGCTCATCTCAAATGTTCTTCATTGTCTGCAATAGAGGTAAACCTGCTTTGGTTTTGGATCTAATCATCTGGGTGGAACTGTGGCTGTTATGGTGAAAATCTAAAACACACTTTTGCTGAAGTAAAGGTAGTTCAGATTCTTAAATCACCAGCACATGGCCCCAGCCAAGTTTAGAGTCCAATCGAGCCTCTCCTAAAATTTAGGAGGCTTGCATGCCGTCAATAATATAAATCGATGGCAGGCGGCCTCCGAAAAGGGAAGCGGGCACATGGATGCGGTTTGCAAAATGCTTTGCATGCATGCGTGCATTTTGGAGTGGCTGGAGCTGTTCTTCACACTCGCTGTCGGAATATGGTTTACAAGCATGTTGAGGGGAGGGGTGGTGTCTATATGGTGAGTGCAAAATGGCTTGCACACATGGTGGGGCGTAGTGGGAGCAATTATAGGGGTCACAAGATGCCTTGCTCACAAGGTTGTGGGGCATGGGGGGTAGTGGAGTGCAATGGGGGTTGCAAAATGCGAAATGTCCCTTTTGGGGAAAGGGGCCGGTGGGGGGGGGGGAGAGGGTGGTGCCGATGAGAGCGTCAATGGTGGATGGATTATGCTTTTACATGCAGATTGGGGGAAGTGGGAGGATTGATGGGGATCTCAATATGCTGGTTTTTAATTTTTATTTTCAAGGGAAGTGGTAACTGGGGCTCAAAGATGCTTTGGACATACATTGCCAAGGGAGTCAGAACATCAATGGGAGCTCTGATATGCCGTGGGGGCCACGGTGGGGGAGAGGGGCGCATGCAGGGGGGGTTAAGGGGGAAGGGTAGGGTTGGACCGTTGGCGGGTATTGTGGCATGCCTTATGGGCATACAGAAGGAAGGGGAAGCATTTGTTTGGTGTTACAGAATACTTCACTGACATGTTTGAGGAGTGAAAGGGGGTTGGATCAAACATTGGGTGTCTCAAATTGCTTTGAGAGACATTTTGGGAATGGGTGGGAGTACCTGCGGTGGGGGTTGCAGAACATGCTTTTCACACTTGTTGAGGGATTAGGAACATTAATTGGAGTGCAAATAAAGTTAACATGCATGATTGGGGAGTGGGGACATTTATGGGGGCTGACTATGGTTTATGTGGACATTGAGAGGAAGGGGACCACTGATGGGGAAACCAGAAAGTATATTCATGGTTTTTTTTTTTTTTTAAGTGGGCAAGTGGGGGTGGGGATGGGGAGCTTTTTGAGATTACAATGCGACATGCTCGTGAAGGGGAATAGGGGTGCATTGATGGGGGTTGCGAGATGGTTTAGTTGCCTGTTTGGGGGAAAAGAGTGGGAGTGCTTACAACTAGTGGAAACATGCTATATGGGATGGTAGAGGCGGGG